TGAATCCTCCTCCAAGGGGAATTGAGACCGCTGAAACAGCGATTATTGGTGGTTCCATGTTGAAAAACATAAGCAGTGCCATGATCATATCTCATCTTTGCCATAAGTGCGTTGTGGACACAAAACAGGGGAGTAACAATAGGTGAAATCCCTGATAGATTGTCTCTTCTACTAAAACAAAACTCAATACAGAATAACATAGTCTTTGTTATAGGAGATCACAATGTTACTGAGTGGCCCATAGAAGAAATGCCACTACTAAAGAACTGTACAATTATCGTCCTCCTGAGAGGGTACGTAAGTCCACAAACATTCAAAGTAAATTAAAACTCTCCACTATTTTTAATCGTAGAATATGTGTCTTTTTAAATGTCTGACAAGATTTGTCTTAGTTGCTAACAGCTGAAGGGATGATGTAAATCCAGCTAGGGTCCATGCAGGAAGTAAATGTACTGTAAGTCCCCATGGTCCCTGGTATGGTGATCTACCTTCAGTTGTTGGCAATATATAACCAATTTTTACATTGTCTTGTCATTTCTATTAAAAATGTTTTAGATTTAATTTCTAGTTTTAAATATATATCTGTGATAATCTAGTTGTTTTACTGTCTCCTTCGTTGACAAGTGTTTATAATTTATTTTTCAATTAATATAAATCTATAACTTGTTTTAGTCACGATATGGTTGACATATTACCATACCTACTGATACCCCAGTAGTTTTACTGTTCTTCGTAAACAGGCATGTATTTTTTAATTTTATTGATCTATAATATAAATATTAATTGTTCTCGTTACGATATGGCTGAAATATTGCCGATGTGACAATACATATTAACTGTCTCAGAATTCAGATCAATATTCATGGATTGCCATTATTCAAAAGCGCAAACTCTCAGTTGTGGCCAATCTTGGGGAGACTTAGGCAACAATTTGTTAAAACCCTTTTATATTTGGTATATTCTGTGGTACTCATGAGCCTACAAATGTCTCAGAGTATCTTGACTGTGTTGAATTCTCTATCATAAGGGATAAATATTTCTATGTGAAAACAAGTAAAGATCTTTTTCCAAATGTTAATTTTCATTTAATCATTGGCTCTTTTAATAAAATAGATTTAATTGATGAATTGTGATTAATATGTTCTGTAGATAGATGTATTTTAATGATTGGTAGTTTGGTTTAGTATCTTAGATTGTTGGGGGTTAAAGTATTGTAAAATTATTGTCCTCCTGAGAGGGTACGTAAGTCCCGTAACATTTAAAGTAAATTTGAACTTACAACATTTTAAATGTAGAATTTCTGTTATTCTAAATTTAGGCTAAATTTCCCATAATCGCCAGTGGCTGAAGGGATGGTGTAAATCCAACTAGGGTCCATGCAGGTAGCAAAGGTACTGTAAGTCCCCATGGTCCCTAGTGTGGTGATCTACCTTCAGTTGCTGGTGATCTATAGCCCGTTTTTATATATTGTCTTGTTCATAAAATTTGTTTAATTTTACAGTTACATGCTAGTTTTAATTCTCTATCTGTGATAATCTAGTTATTTTATTGTCCTTCGTCGACAGTGTTTTTTATGATCTGATTGCATGTATTATGAATTTGTAATTGGTTAAAGTCACACACTCACTCTCGCATTGCTGAAATACGCAGCATTGCGCGTTTCCTGACAAAAGATCATGTCTGCATAAAGCTTGAAATATCCTGCTTTATCTGCGATACACCTGCTAGATCATTTGTGCAGCAGATGGAAGGCCACAGGGGGTACCGTGGCTGTGATACCTGTGTTTAGAGGGGTGTATGGAATGGTAAAATTATATTACCTGCCACAAACAGCCCCCTTAGAACTGATGTTCAGTCTGATGAAATGGCTGATGAAAGTCGTCATTTGGGCCCTTCTCCTCTCAGTGCTTTTAATTTAAATATTGGTGTGGTTATATGCATTTGTGTGTTTGAGGGTGGTCAAAAGAATTATTTGGCTGTGGATGAACGGTCCTCTTGAAAGTGGATGTCGGATAGGTTCGAGCCTGGTAAGTCAGGTTTCCGATCATGTGATTTCCATGCAAAGTTATTTGCCAAAAGGGTTTCATCGAAAAGGCCGGAGACTTCGGGAAATGGACGGATGGAAAGACCACTGAATTTAGTCTCTTTCTCCTGTATAAGGGAACTTTTGCTCTCTGTGGAAAGTTATCAGATGTCATATATAAGAATTTCATGTCATTTTCCAGAGTTCCGTGTTTGCTCTCAGTCAGGGGGCAACTGTGTCACGAAAGTTTGCTCTTGCGAGAAATATAGTGTCCTCCTTTGCCCAAACAGGCATATTTGTCTTCAATGAGTTGAGTTGGGCTTTACGTCACATCGGCATTATTCCAACCATACAGTGACGAGATCAAGTTTGCATTCAAAAACGTTTTAAGTCCCGGGTCTTCTATGAAGAATGTCCGTGCGAGGAAAATCTTTTCCCACTTACATATTCATAATGTCTGGACACTGGGGCTTTAAACAATCACATGTCTAGAAATTAAAAGTCTTCTTTCGTCATGTCAACAAAATTTTGTTTTTATTCCTCTCATACATTCAGCTCTACATTTTGTATCCCCCCACAACGCGTTAAGCGAGGTGTGTAAGTAAAATGGACTCCGCCCGTCCGTACATATTCGTATTTTCCGGAGAATCGGTGCCTTTTGGTAGTTTTGGTTCTCTGAATAAACTCTTTTTTACGTTCCTGTGGCAACAAGTTTGACTTCGACCGAATGTGTTGGTACTCTTATCCAGAGCAGAACTTTAAAACCGTTCGATATTTCTTCACGAAACTTGACACATAGGTCTGGTGGTGAACTAATGCCTTTGATTGCTTTTTTACCCCCAAATAGTACCTCGCGTAACATTATTTGACTTTTCTAATCTATTTATTAGTAGTACATTCGGTTTTCTTTGAAAGTATATAATAAAGGTAAATTTGTTTCTCAATATGAGATTGTAAAAATAATCACGGATAATTTCAATTTTTCAACTTTTTATCCGCCCAAAATAGGCTTTTAGCTTCATATTTCAAGGGAGGACGTTTTAATACTTATTAGTTATAACTTAAACATGTTGTTGAAAGACTCAAATCATTTTAGTAACAATTATTTTGTCACATTTTGACTGGACTATTAGCAAAGAGTATTTGCTATATGATCCCTGATAGCTTTGCCGTCGTTCCGTCCTCTGTAGTGTTCTATATGTGTCACATGCTGGTGTAGAATAGCAAAAATAGTTGACAGGACACAAGAACCAGCAAAGCTAAACAACACCAACTCTTCCTCCGATTAAATATTCCTCAAATCTTCAGGGTACTTCGGGTAATTCCACTCACTTGGCCTCAACTGTCAGTTCGAGTTTGACGAATCAGGGCCGGTTGTTCAAAAACCTTTTAAATCTTAACGGACCGTCAACATTAAGTCTGTTGCTGAAAGGTGCGTTAACCTTTAACGGCACGTTGAGACCATGTTAACAGCTAAAAAACGTTACCATTAGCATTAGTTCTAGATCAATCTATTTTCTCCGAAATCTGTATCTTTGGTGTTATTCCACTTCATTAAACTCATCAGAAAAGAATGTTTTTTATAGTGGTCTAATTTTATGAATGCTGCACATGGCTGGACATTGAACGCCATGTTGTCACCATGGAGCTAGATCGTCCGAGGTTGCTGAAAATCTCCTGAACTGTTAATTCAAGTTCGACCTGTACTTTGAGAATAAATGGACTCGATACAAAGACTACCCTATCGCATAGATACATGGTTTTCCCTGCCTCTTATCATGAATGACCCTGGATGATTCTTAGTAGCCTCAGAGTGTGTCATCGTGATGCATTGAATATAGAATGACGTGTGAGGGACCGCTGATTTTCACTGCTCCGCCTACCGAAACGTAGTGTGATATTATGATAAAGGTCTTGGGTCCCATGGAGGGTTCCGGTGAAACTCCTTTTCTAAGTGGCGTGCTGGTCTGCTTATGGGGAATTAGCTCAGCAAAGAGTCCGAGGGTTAGAGCTGACCTGTGTTGGAAATCTAAACCCTACTGACAAATATTTATCTTAAAGGAAGAGATTATGATTCGTTGACCGATACAAAAATGGGTGTGCCCTAAAACAATCAATGAAATATCGAATGGGGTGTGCCCTTCAACAACCAATAATGGGTGTGCCCTACAACAACCAATGAAATATCGAATGGGGGGTGTCCTTAAAGAACAACTTAAATGACCAGACAGGGGGAGTACTTAAGCCTGCTAATCCTGTTTCAACTGGCACTAATCTTGTTGGTACATTTACTGTATGCTTAGATGCTTACCCAGGGCTAGATCTTAACGAGCCTAATTTGATGTGTCAATTGTTGATGCTTGGATTACAATAGATGCGTTTACTCTGGGCCATGTCTTAATGACCCTAAATTGGTGTTTGCTCAATGTTATTGTAATATAGATGATGACATGTTTACTTTATCAGAACAGTTTATTAAACCGTCTAGACATAACTTTGTCTTACTGAAAGGTGTGTCTAACAGCTTGAGTCCTTGATACCTTAGGCTAGGATTTTATCTTGAACATCTGTGAAATTGTGCAGCCGTAATTTACACCTTTTCAATAGTATATCTGTGAGATGAGTTTTACTTCTTTTGACTGGAGTCTTTCTCTAAGCTATTACTGATACATGATGAAACTAATAGTCTATATTTATTTTTTCCTAATATCTGAATCCTAATATCGCTTGTAGTGTTTATAATAAATAATAAATTTTGAATGAATTATTATTCCATGATAGCGAGATCAAACCAACCTTCAACTTGGAAGTTTTCCGTTGTGTCAACAATTAGCAGTGTCTGCTCTGGCTTAAATTTTCTTGGGGTCACTTGGACCCCTTCTTTTAAAAATTAGGGGTCCCCCCCCAAAAATGGATGGGTCCATATTTTGGTTTGTAATATAGCATAAACAACACAACACATTGGTTGTAAAAAAATCAGATTTCAATTTGGAACTGCGAAAACATCAACAACATTAGTTTTAGCAAAACAGCTTTCTCTTTTTGTCACTTCTCCATTTGGTGACGGCTGGTGCAAGAGAAACATCCCTTACAGGAGGCTCTAGAGCCAGCTGCATCAGCGTGTCAAGCCGCTCTGATGATAGCCTGTTTCTGTGTGACCTCTTTATGAGGTTTTGAACACTGAAACCCCTCTCAACAGTTGCTGTTTGAAGGGGCAACAGGACAGCAACTTGTGCAATCTTGAACAGATTTGGAAATGTATCAGGGTGTCTTGACGACAGTATCTGCCATAACTGACAGATACTTGTACAAGGATAATGCTGCTGATGCACCATATCCTTGCACATTGCCCATTCTCTCAGGGTCTCCTCAGCATCTACAAAGGTCTTCTCACGATGACTGTAGAAGTCAATGATGTTTTGAAGTTGTTCTGTACCCCAGTGTTTTCTAGCATCTGCAACAGCAAATGAATATCTAAACAATACTAACTCAGACCAGTCCCACATCAGTTGTGAAATGTTTGTATCATCACAATATGAAAATGATCTTACTTTAAAAAAAAAGTACAATATAGATTATTTAAAATGAATCTACAGTCTATCGTAAAATTGTGTTTTTTATCTATATATTTTCTGAAATTATACTGTAGTTTAATGAAACTTTGTCTGTTTTCATGAGATAGGCTAAACTGATAACACATTTTACAGTTATATTACCTTCAGACAAGAAAGAGAGTCCCCTCAGTGACAGTACTGACATGCATGTCACAACATCAGTGGCCACAGCTGGGAATCTGCACTCAAGCTCGCTCATTAGGTTTTGCAGGAAAGCAGCCCGAACATTTGAGAACCGCTTCTCAACGCCAGCCTCTGATGTTATTGGGACACCATCAAACTCGCAGCTTCCCTTTGGACACTGACTTTCAAACTGTACAAGTGCCGGTCCATTTTCTTCCTTCAAATACTGCAGTTGCTAGAACAGAGTAACATGCAAAGTGAGACTTTAGAATAAAGTTCTCAATCAAGGAGCATTTATTTCATATTATCCTGAGTAAGAACCAAGTAATTGTTTCAAATTTGAAGAAAATTTTGCTTCATATATTGTTTTGGTTGAAACTGATTGCAAACATATAGCTTTCATGATACCTGTATAACAGCATCAATGGATGGCCTCAGTGCAGCAAGGTCTATGTCCTCCTTCTGAAACTGGAGGCTTAGTCTGGTCATGGTGGGGATGATGTCCATCAGAAGGTGAAGGACAAGAAGGAACTTGTAAGAGGAAATGCGCTGCAAGATGCCTTTGGCAGTACTGTTGTTTGTTTCCACCCGCTCACTCTCCAAGAACAGAGCCAAGGGCTTCCAAGTCCTGTAATATAAATTATCAAACAATATTTATGTAAATCTATTGCAAAGATTAAGATGTTTGAAAGAACTTCAAGTTTGTTTTTTTTAAAATTCAGAGCTTTTTTTTTGCATAAAACTGGACAATATATTTGAGAAGATGTAGCTTACCTAAACACAGCCTCCAAAGCATTGTAGATTGAAAACCATCTGACGCTGTGAATTTCTTTGTATGTGACATTTTCGCATTCAAGCACCTCCTCTAGTGCATAAAGACGTTCCCGTCGGACAGAGGATTTCTTGAAGAAATAGAAAATGTCTGATAATGTCCCTTGAAATTTCTTCAGATAGGGAACATTTTCAGCAGCCTGGCTAGTAACCAGGGCAAGGCGATGAGCAATGCAGTGGACACCGATGACAGGCACAGTTGATTCCTTGTTGAGCAATGCCACGAAACCATTCTTGCGTCCAGTCATAACAGCAGCCCCATCTGACCCCACAGCAATGATTTTGGACATAGGAATGCTACGATCCTGTAATGTTTTTTTGACAGTTTCTAGAAGAGTAGTAGCCTTGCCATCAGGAATTTGCACATTAGCAAGGAAATTTGTTTCAACATCAAATTCTGAATTGAGAGATCTTGTGTAGATTAGGAGTTTCTTTGTAACTGATATATCTGTGCTTTCATCAATCAATATGGATATACAAGGACTAGCACTGATTTTGTTGGTTACTGAGACACGAAAGGAATTAGCTATTGCATCTTGCATGTCGTCAACTGCACAGTGAGATGTGTATTTCATAGAGTCTGAATCACAACCTAATGTTTTGGGAAATGATAACCCATGAAGCATGCATAATTCCATCAATGCAGCACATTTTGATGAGGCAATCTGCTCCTTTGCCAACCAGTATATATTCAGCATTGCAGATTGAACTGCACATTCCTTGTCATTTAGCACTTTGGAGACAACTGTGGACATGTTCTGTCTCAGAGATGTAGCTTGAATAGCAGAATTGTGGTCATCAGCTTTCATGTGCCTTACCAGAGTGGAATGCCTATAATTATGGCAGCCAACAGTAAATGCATTGGTCTTGGTTTCAGAAATACAAACATGACAAGTCATACCAAGTGATGTGTCAAATCTTAGCCAACTGTACTTTGTAAGCCAGTCACTTTGAAACCGTTTTTCAACTTTTTGTTTCTTTGGCAAAGGTTCATTTTCCGTGTCATTGTTTTCACCAGTTTTCTCAGCTGGTGATGGTTTATGAGCAGTAGTATTGCCAAACCAACTGACTAAACTTGCCTGAATACGATGGCTTGTCATCGCTGGAGCTGTCAAATTTACGCTAGCGTAGTAAACGACTTCCTTATAAGGATGTGCCGTATTTCACAGAACAAGGTAAATAACAAACTTTCGTTGACAGTGACAAATTTCAAGAATTAAAAACACAACTAGTCTGTTGTAGAATATCGAAATATTTAGGGCGGACAAAAGAAAAACAACGCTCATATTCAAGTTTTCGCATTTATTCTGTATTATACATATTCTGTTGCTTGTTCGCGCCGTTACCCTGTTTGGAAGTATACCCTTGGCGTGCCTGGCTATTTTTAGTTTGACACAAGGTCGTGATGTTTTCGACCAATCGCCAAGCTAACAACGTTGCCGAGCAGCTTCATAGGCTGCATCTGATTGGCTGACGGAAACCGACGGACCATACCGTACATTAACATATGCAAAACTGAAAATATATGTAGGTCAAGCAACCGGTTTGAGTAGTGGTGATAAAAAGTGCGAGACAAATAAAACCGGTTTGGTTTAACAACCGGAAGAGTTTATCAACATGTTTCGCAGACTGTTCGACATTAAATAACCCAGTACGCCAGGATATGCACACACAAAGCCGTACGTTTTTGATTTGAGATATGAAATTAATACTGCTCGAGTCGATGCGTCCACGAGACCCACACATGTTACGCAGGTGCGTTCAAACTCATATTTGTGCGTCCAAGACGCAAAAACGCGCTCTTCAGCCAACACTGAATTAGTATCTAATATTCCCCATGTCACCCTGAGAAATTGATGTTTGGGGTTATCCAAGCCCGTCTCTTTTTTTTATTTTGCGCAAGATACCGTGAAACAAGATATTGAAATGGCGCTCGTGAGGGGGTGCTCTGAGATGACGATGGATGGCCCTAATTCCCCCCATGGTTCGACTTGAACTACTACTGGCTGTCGATTGTCCTTCCTTCGGAATAAAAATGACGAAGCATTTTTGCCAGTTCTTCCGCTGGAGAAGATTCAAACTTTTAGATTCCACATTGTGGTGTTAGGCATTCTCAAAGGAAAGGAATATACTCACTACATGTACTTGGAATATAAAAAGGTAGGAACTATTTTTCTATTTATTCAGCATAGTAAGATTTGAAATATTAGGTCTGTGTCATATTATGTACATTTGAGCTATTTTCAAAATTATAGAACGAAAACTATTGTTGAAATTAAGTGAAAATTCGATTTCTCAAAAATAATGTTGCGGCCTGGGATTTACCCTCTATGTCAGTGAGAATAAAGGCTGCGGGTGTGAGGTCAACTCGTTTTATTCTGAGGATTCAGTGGATATCAGTTGGTATCAGTAGACACTCTGTAACAATAGAGTTATCATAAGTACAATTGCTTTGATGGGTTAAAATACAAGCGTACATATTACATCACACTATATTACATAACATCAATAAGCATATGTTTACAGGTACATTACTATCTGTAATAATGCATACATCATATGCTCATACCATTAGAAGTACACATACAAATATATGTTTCTTACAAATGTGTTTACCAAATTATGATATATCATCATGTCATCAAGTACATGATACCAGACAATAATACAATATATTCAACAATAAGCAAATACATCACTTATGCATAAATAATGAAATAGATTATAACCTGCGTACCCTGTGGGTGACACGGGAGTGTTGTTACCGGCGGTCAACCCTCCTCATACTACAGGACTGTGATACCTGAGCCATGAAACACATGATAACATATAAACATATGTCACGTGACTGAGAATAGTTCAGACACAACAATTAACTTGTACAATACACATATCTACAAGGAAAGGTTTACTTCATTGTATGATTTATATAAATATGCATAATAAGTTATATATAAAATCATCACTCATACACACATTCTTGCATAAGAGTATTCATACATTTGTTAATTACACTATCAAATATTGTACTGAAAATGTTTACTTATGATACTTATTTGTCATTTATTCATTAATAAAAGCATATAGCAATACTGTACTATAATTACTAACCTTAGAAGTAGATTATTGATTATCTTGAATTGCTGTGCACATCAAGTACTGGTGACAAGTACTGAGCACCTAAGGTGAGGGTGACAAGTGCTGTGTGAGTGAAAATGGCTGATGACCTATGATTTGAAATAATAATAAACCTATTTACCCAATGACCTTGTAATGGAATGATCCAAAGCAATCAGAGACCTGAATTAAGCACTTAAAACACTATTTGCCGACAACTTCTCATTGTGAACATAATGAACCTCTGTTGAACCCAAAACAACACAGATGTATATACATTTTGATAAAAATAACGCAACACATGAAGTTAATATAAATGCTTTTATTTCACCCTATTACAATAATACTGGTATTTTTCCCATTGCTTTATTTCCTTGCGTTTTCAAATAGGTGGAAGGAGTGTTTTAGTTCTCCCGACATATTCAATTTTTCCAGAAATTTGTGTATGTAAATCTATCTTCCTGTGGGTATAACTAATTTGAGAAAATTACATGCTTGAAAAGGTCTCCAATTCTGGTTGACTTTGATGATTGCAGAGAAAAGATCATTGCTGATTATTTAAATGGTGATATTTGGAGATAAAAAATTATGAATTTTATGTTAACGGTAAGAGTACTTATTTGACAAAAAAGATTACAAAAAAAAAAAGTTTTTGGGAGGTTACACAATAATTTTGAAGAAGATTCTTCATCGTCATTCTCCGTTGCTAAACTGACCAATAAATTATAACATGAGTTAAGAGAAGTATCCAAAATGATGCAAGGAAGGTGTGTTTTTAAAGCATTTTTGCCAATAAAGAAAACAAGAGAAAGGAGCTCAGGTGATTGGACAAAACTGTTATACGTACAAGGGAATCAAATTATGAGAAACAGTGCAATCACATAACCTGTCATATGAAGATATTGTTTAGTAAGTACCAGAATCATACTTCAAGAATATGTGATCTGATACAGAACTTATCTTCAGTGAACACATCAGCAATGGGAATCCTATTTTCGTACATTCAGATATTTTCCATGATGGTACAGCATATTTCCCAATTGGAGACACTAACATTGGTGAATCAGAGGGCATAAGCAAATTGAATTTACTGTCACATCTCTGAGGTCCCTATTTGCTGCCATTGATACGTTTGAATATTGTCCTGGAATTGTTCTTGCGTGCAGCAAAGGAGAATGCTTACCTTCAGACAAATTCAGAGAACATGCAAGTAGCATACTCAACCAAATGCCATACGAAATTAGGTTTGAAACCGAAATGTATTTTTAAGCCCCCATGGTCCATAGTATGGTGATCAACCCTCAGTTGTTGGCAATATATAGCCTGTTTAAATATTGAATTGTCTTCTGTAATTAAACGGGTTTTTTTACATACTAGTTTTATGTTCATAAACGGCATAGAGTGTGGGGGCGCTCGAGGGCTGCTGAATTAGTAGTAATGAAAATGCACCTGCAGCTATCGTTGCCCTAGTAACTACTGTTGGAAATGGAAAAAAACTATTTTCTCATTCATCTCTACAATTTATGTAGTTGATATGTGAAAGTGTGAATGGCCTAACTACAGTCTCAGTGGTAGAGAGATAGGAAACGGAGAAAAAGGACTTTACTGAGGGGAAATTAGTGCAGAAATGAGCAATGCGGTTTTTTTTTCAAAGTCCAAAAAGACTTATTTGGAACACACTATGGCTTTATGCAAATTAGTGTGCGACGATATTGTATTGCAAAGGACAATTTTTAAATGTCCAATTTAAAACTAGACGCAGATTCATTATAAACGATAGCTTACGTAAAAAATAAGAACTTTTATGCTGGAACTATTAAGGATGTAGTTACCATGGAGTCTCACTGTCACTATATAAAGAAACAGATAGGAGGGGTCGCCTCAAAAGCAAAACCTTGGGTCGGGCTGGGGGATAGAGATATCAGCTAAGATAAGATAAGATAATCCTTTAGGGCAATTATACTTGGGGGAGGGGGGGGGGGAGGACGACACGGCACGTCATAATAATTTACAAATAATATCTAGTCCTGTCGATCTTCGGGTGGTCATGCCACCTATATACTACGATGCGTTTCTATGGTTTTCGGGTATCATACTCTTTTACATATCTCCTACATAAACTTTATAAAAGAAAGACACGTAAGATGTGAATCAATAGATGAGACATAGTCAATACACATGAAAAAGCACAAAATATCTTTGAGATGACCCCTTGTGACTGTCGGCAGCTCGTGCATTTCATCCGAGGTGAGTCGACAGTCAGTTGTCTTACCTGGCTGAGCGGCCTAATTGCTATCTATAATCTGATCTATTGTTTTCAGCAGCTATTCGTATTTTTCTAAGTTTTGCCCGAGTTTATGAGTAAACATGCTTTTCTGGACACCGTATTACGCATCCCACTGAACGCCCAGTTAGGCCGAAGGTGGTTATTTCGACATATGCTATTTGCAATTGTGTTAATTTTAGGGATACAGAGTAACAGCCTAAAAAGAGTTGGTTTTTTCTATTTCCGACAGTACTTTAGGAAACCCTTGCCATGGCACCGAATGTAAAAGACTATTGAGCCAGGGCAACTGCCGTTGCCAAGCCAACTGTTTGCTGTCAAGCAGATCCTAGTCACCTGCTGTAAAGCAGAGTGGATAAACCTGATCCTTGCTGTAAAGCAGAGCGGATATACCTGATCCTTGCTGTAAAGCAGAAGACCCTAACAGTGCAAAATTTAGACATACAGCCAAATATAACAGCAGCCCACGAGCAGGAAAGTGCTACCTCACGCACAAGGCCATACAGGGGATTTCAATAATACATTTCTTGAGAATTCCTTTATCCTTTGGAATACGGTAAACTTTCAAATGCTTCCGTCTACCCAACGATTGCAACAATCGATCAGACAACATCAGCTACACTACAAGAAAATAACGTCAGGAAAAGGTGAAAACGTTTAGATATTGCAGTTGCGGGTGATACTTCTCAGTTAAGAGAGTCCAGGGGCCGTATTTATCAAACAACTTAAGTCATTAAAAAAACTTAAGTCAGTTACAAAACTGAGTTTTCTAGTTTTTTCGACTTAATTTTTGTGGTAAAACTTAGGTCATATTTATCATCAGGCTTAGACTTAAGTTTTGTCATTTTTTTACTTAACTATTTAGACTCACCTTGCTAGGCTTAAATCAACTTGTTTTGACTTAAGTCGATTAAAACAAAATGGCTGCCACACGTAATCCAAGAGTATTTAATGAAAGAAGAGACTTTCTGCATACATTAGATGATCATGAACTGTCACAAAGGTGTAGATTTGACAGAAATACTATTGTTTACATCTGTGATCTACTTGAACACGAAATAAGTCCCGTAACGCATCGGAGTTGTGCCGTGTCCTGCGTTACCAAAGTGCTCGTCTTTGAGGTACCTTGCAACTTGAAAATTTCAGATGTGTAATGGTGATGACCATGGACTGAGTCAACCCACTATCTCAAGCGTCATCGTACAAACGCTTGAATCGCTCACAAGTCAACGTATGGTCCGCAGACATGTCACCTTTCCCACGCAAGCCCAAGAAATTAGACGATATCAGCGTCGATTTTATCACACTGCAAACTTCCCCGGTGCAGTAGGTGTAATTGATGGCACTACGTTCAAATCCAGGCCCCATCCGTGAATGAGAATGAATTCATTAACAGGCATTACTACCAC